TGAAATGTGATATGGCGATAGAATTGACCCTTGATATGATGAAGTGATGTTGTGAGAGTAGGAAAGTGCATCCAGAAGGTAATGAGCCAATGAGATTGGCAGTACACGGGCGTGTGGAGAACTGGCGAATATACTCGCGTTCATGACGAATATCCGAGCTCGATCACGAATCAGCTGCAGTTCATACGCACCGATCTCTAGTCGCCTCAACAAGTTCACCAATTCAGCTTCCTGCAATTGAACATGCTACATCAAACTAACAAATCCCTGATGAGCCCTACTTTAAGTTATGAGCCAAATGTTTTCATGACTGCCACTTCACAGGATTTCAATATAGTCAAACATATTGTCAAACATCAATGAAAGTAATCAAGTATGCGATAATGTACTATACGTACGAACATTTTGAAAGAGACTGTTGGAGGCTAATGATGCAACAAGAAGATATCACTAACCAGATGGTACAGTTTAACTTCCAAGAATTTAGTTGCCGCAGGTCCTCGGGGCAACTGCAGAGCATGTAGAGCCAGCGTGAATGCTAATCGATGTGTTTCGGGTTCTTTGATGAGAGACTGCACCAGAAATATTGTCCTAAAATGGAGTTCGAAATCAGAAATTTGATTCACGACAATACAGGACATGATGAAATTGGAGAATATGGCTCGAATCTTGCCATGTTCATTTGAACAATGTGATACGAGAGATCATTAGCTTCAATGAATGTCATACAATCGATGCAGTGCAACGAATCGCATGCATACCTGCTAATTGTTATCGCAGCAAGCTGCGAGCTCTCCAGAAGACCTTCATCGAATTCTGAAAGAAGACTGCTTTCGCCAGCTGCAGCAGCACCAGACTGTGTTGATGTGGTGGGTATGGAACTGGACTGCGAACTTTTACGTCTTCTTGACTTAGCACCCTAAATATTTGGTGACTTTATTATATGTCTCGAGGTCGATATTACCGAAACTTTTGCTAGGAACAGTTACCAGCAAAATTTGTTGTAAAATGTTTATTATTCGTAGAAGCATTTACCATTTTGCTAGAACCCACTGCATTACCGTCGGAATGGCATCCCCTGAATTCTGTCTTCGATGACGAATATAACAAATCCGGAGGTTTTTCGATCATCTCATTGCTCAACTCAATGGCCATATCACAAGCTTGTCGTGTATAACCATGGGACATAAGCGCTTCACATCGAGCGAATTTAATGTCCAAATTGGACGGTTGAATATGTGCACGTGCGAACAACTCATCCACATCACTCCATGATAGGCTTGGCTTATTGTTACTGAAAGCATCGAATGATTTGTATTGTACTCAAAAAGATGGCTTGCTCACAAATGACTGTCATATCAGAGACATCAATTTCGCACTGATTACGGCAGTGATCTATTGAATACGTCTACAGTTGAAACGCTCTTGATGAAATTATGGAAACAGATTCAATTCAAACGAAATAATCTCATTGAAATTATTCTTACTTAGTTTCACTCATGCCTGCCGTTGCATTCCATTCTTCGTTATTCGATGATTTCTCTCTTGCATTTGAATGGTTGGTCTGATTCGATTCCGTTGGTCTCGATGGACCAGTTTCACTTTCTTACAATTGAAACGCTCTTGATGAAATTATGGAAACAAATTCAATTCAAACGAAATATTCTCATTGAAATTATTCATACTTAGTTTCACTCATGCCTGCCGTTGCATTCCATTCCTCGTTATTCGATGATTTCTCTCTTGCATTTGAATGGTTGGTCTGATTCGATTCCGTTGGTCTCGATGGACCAGTTTCACTTTCTTGTCCCGACTCTGCACTTTCCTCCTCCATTTCCTCGCCTAACGCCAAGTTCCGAACGGCACGTTCCAGTGAACGTTCATCGTGAAATTCGAACGGTTGATGCATTCGATTACGATTCAAACGTGACGATGTCTTCTTACGACGCTTCGTCGAACGAGAAGAACCCTATGAGTGGCGCAAATTGAAAAAATATTATAGGACATACTTCAAATTCGATTCGGGAACGATACAAAGTGAGGATGGAAGGGTAACTAATTACAACTTTTTGAAAAGAAACGTTATATCCGAGAAAATCGCTCAGCACGCTAACCTGCTGATGTACCGAATAGTGGTAGAAGGCATTCCGGAAAAGTGAACCACTTGTCCCGGGCACATCCGGCAAACTCGTACCCTCTGAGATACGCGAATGACGTCTCAGCACTGGCATATTTGGGCTGTAGTGACCGGTGCATGAAACGTGCGCGTTCGCAGAAGACGTATTCACAGATAACA